AGGTGATAAAGTGATGAGGTGATAAAGTGATGAGGTGATAAGGTGATGAGGTGATGAGGTGATAAAGTGATGAGGTAGTTCCAATCCTCAAGGTGGCCGACGCCTCATTTCCTACTAATCCTTCTAGACACGTCCATCAGTGACAGGGGATCCATCACACAGCATCACACACGAGTGTCACCACAGTATTTATGTTTACAGCAATCGGAAAGGTGATACTGTGGTGGTACTCTGGTGGTACTCTGGTGGTACTCAGGTGGTACTGTGGTGGTACTGTGGTGGTACTCAGGTGGTACTGTGGTGGTACTCTGGTGGTACTGTGGTGGTATTCTGTGGCAGCTCTATAAAACTGAAATGAAAGGACCAAACTCCACCTTCATGACAACAAAGCCCAGATGCTGCAGCTGCGTAGAGAAAATGTTATCAGAGGGTCGACGCGCTGAGCCAACAGGCTGCCATCGTCTCTATTTACAATCCAGCCACCTGCTTTCACCGACCTTTTCTAATCCTGCTTTTCTTTCAAACGTTGAATTCCTCCTGAGCACATCAGGGTCAAATGGTGGAATTAAGAGATGACTTGAACACTGGCCACACGCCACACCTTCTTTTCTCCCTCTCTTTGCACCCGATGCTCTCGGTAAGGTGAGACCTGAGTGATGCTGCCTCAGACGCACAGAGGAGCTAAGAACATCCAGAACATGGCTTCTACTCTAACTATATTCTTTATATTCTACTCTAACTGTATTCTATATATTCTACTCTAACTATATTCTATATATTCTACTCTAACTATATTCTATATATTCTACTATAACTATATTCTATATATTCTACTCTAACTATATTCTATATATTCTACTCTAACTATATTCTATATATTCTACTATAACTATACTCTATATATTCTACTCTAACTATATTCTATATATTCTACTCTAAGTGTATTTTCTTCATCATGAAAAGGAGGAACACTGGTTTTCCTAGAGACAGTCACTTTCACTTGGCAATTTTCAAATGACCTCCGATGTGGCAGATGCAGATTTCTTCATGAAACCTTTAAATGCAGTATTTTTATTTTCACGAACCAAAAAGTTAGGAAGTACATTATTATCATAACCAGTGGAAGTGATTGTCCGACCTTTGGAAATTAGGCCCAAGTTCAAAGTTTTTATCGTCAACGCAAAATCAGACCTCATAGTCTCACTAACTGGAAGACGCTTCGGATAAAAGCGTGAGTTTAACAACATGTAACGTTATGTAATGTAGTCTAGGTTAGCCTCACAAGCTAATCTTGATATGTTCTAAAAAAGAACCCTTTAAATTTAGGCAACAACAAATCATCTAGCGGCATTAAATCTTCTTGACTCCCTCCATTTTTATTTTGATGGTGACTCTACCCAAATACATTTTTTGTATTGCGTACCTGCTTTTTTGAGGATATCGTCTCGACTTGTCTGTTCTGTCTGGTGGTCTCGTTAAATACGAGTTTTCTCCCTTTGTCGATTGCGACGGCAGAGCGGCAGAGAGGTCAGCAGTCCTCTGCTTCAATATACTGAGTCACAGTCTCAGCCATTTCAAATTTGGATTCCACTGACCTTCACTTGGTCCCACTGATCGTGGCTTTATCTCTAGTGTTTGAACATTTCTACAAAAGGTGAAGTGAATCGTTCTCCATTCTCCAGAAAAAACTCTTTCATCATCTTCTCTCAATCCCACTTGACCCCACGTTGACCTTCCCCCGAGAAGCTCTTCTATTTCAGACACAACCTCCCTCCAGGGACAGAGAGGGACGAGCAGCCTCCTCACAAACCACACTATCCTGTCACTAGTACTTTAACCAGTTAGTACTTTAGCTTTTAAACAGTCATTTTAAACAGTTAGTACTTTAAACAGTACTGTAATCAGTTAGCAGCTAGTACAATAACCAGTTTGTACTTTAAACAGTTTGTAATTTAATCAGTTAGTACTTTAGAGCGCTCGTCTATTAATCTATTAACGAGTTGGTGCGGGTACAGATATTAATCCAGATGTAACTGACCTCAATACAGGTGATAAGGTGATGAGGTGATGAGGTGATAAGGTGGTGAGGTGATAAGGTGATGAGGTGATAAGGTGATGAGGTGATAAGGTGATGAGGTGAT